GATATTTCTTTTCCCCACAATATTATTTGCCTCTTCTCCTAATCGTTTTAAAATCGATCTTTTATTTAAATGCCACCAAAATATTTATACCCTCTAAACCTTTCCCGTTCTTCCGAAACAGTGTTTACTCGAGTTGTCGTTCCTAGCAATTTAGATTTAACGAAGAGTGCAAAGTACCAATGCACAAAAATGTTCTCAAAAGTTTTCAGAAAGAAAAGTCAAAATATTTATTTATTTGCGTTATAACATTGTAATTTCACAGGAAGCAGACAATTATTTCAAGGCATTCTCGAGTTTTAATTCCAACCTATCATTTGATATGAATAAAGTAATTAATCGATTGTAAGATCAATTAGGAAATGAGTCTTGTTTCTTGCGAGTTTTGTTTCTTGCAAGTTTTGGTGCTAATAATGTAATGAACCTTTACATGGCCGACTGTAAAAATTGAGATGCGAATAAGATTATTTTTTGCATGGCAGTAATATGGTACCTGAAAAAAATTCTCCTTTCAATAGTTCAAAAATTTCCATGTCGTTCGAATACACACAGAATAAAGTTAAGACGAAAAAATCGTCAAAATGATCGAGAAATCGTTTAGAAGAGCAAGGTCAACGTACAAACTCTCCATTCTACTATCCATGCATCTCTTACTCTAAAGGTTGTGAGATTTTGTTAAAGCATCAAGACCTTTCTCGTTTTAGTCTACTGATAAGTTCAGTTAATTCTCATAAGCACGTTCGATTTTGCATTGATATCTTAGAAAGAGATTATGTTTTAACCACTGTTGGTTACCAGTCTGAAGCTTGGAAAATTGTTGACATATTTTTAAGGAGGAAAGAACCCAAACAACTAGAAACGGTTTATTTGTTTTAAAAAGCTATAAATCACCACATTGACTTTCAAGAAGCCCAGTGCAAGTTGATGTCAACCACTGAAGAATTATTGAGGATAGTTTTAACCAAACGTTTCAAAACGAAACATTTTGCACAGCACAGATTAGGACAGGGTAACATCAGAAACTCGAGTGAACAAAAATGCTCAAATTTTTGGCGTACAAAGCAGGTGACTAAAATCAACAGAAAAATCCGAACTTATCAAAATTTAATCTAGCCAAACCCATTATACCGTGTAGCATGTTTTGAAAAAACCTGCCGAAAATAACTAATAGCTCAGTGGTTAGAGCGTCCGGCTAGATCACGGAGGGTCCTGTGTTCAAATCCCATCTGGAACTCGGATTTTTTTCCGAGTTGATGCTATATCTTCATTAAAAAAAAAATAACAAGAAAACATTCATTAATTCAATCGGAATGATACAAAAACTACTTTTAATGTACGTTGTCATTTTCTTTGTTTTCATTTCTCTCTACGTGAAATGGTTTCCCTACTACTCCGATCAACTGTTTTATTGAAAGTTAAACTGAACGTTTCCAAATTGCATGCTGTTGTAAACAATTAAAAAAGAGTAAAATCCATAGGAATCCAATGAATCCAAATGAATTGGGGATAAATGCTTTATAATTCTCAAATGATTCAACAGATTTATTCAAAGTGTTTCTAAAAGACCTGTGCCCAGGCGTAAAGCATATCCAAATTTGTACTAAAATATGTTCAAAAAAGATTTGTATAAAGGTTTCAAATTTTTACGACAGATTCATTTGAAATTCAAAAAGTTCCTTTTTTTACTAAAAAAAGATCTGTTTTTAGTTGAAAAGAGTGTTTCGCTTGGTAATTAAAAGATTCATTTGAGTTAAAAAGTTCCACGTTCACTTAAAAAGAATCTCTCTGGAACGGAAAAAAATCTGCTAGAAAAAGTTTCATCTTCAGTTGAAAAAGATACAGTTTGAAAATGTTTCCTTTAAGTCTACAATATTCCATGCATACTTTAAAGAACCTCCTGAAAAGAATAAAGTGTTTATTCTTTGGAAATGTTTGATTTTGAGTTGAACGATAAAAATGATCTCGTTTGAGGTTAAAAAGTTTGAAAACGTTTAATTTTCAGTTGAAAAAGTTCCATTAAAAGGATCTCTCATGTTGAATAAAGTTTCTTATTCTTTGTAAAAGTTTCATATTGACCTGTCTTTCCTTGTTCTGTTCTTGTTGCCTGTTCTGAAGCTCAGCTTTTTTGGTCTCTTTAATAATTGGTGGAACTCTAAATATATGGCGTGACAGATAACTTCGCTCGTCATCTTGGCTTAAACCTCTGCATGATTATAGCCAAATATATAATTTATACACTGCCTCCATAAAAGAAGAAGAGTTTTATTTCGATGCCTTCTTAGCGATTTTGACAAACAAAATTAAAACTGAGAAACATAAATCTAAGTCACAAATTAATATGTGAGAAAGACTCCTATTGTAGCTAACGCTCTACATGAAAGTATTGCAAGATATTAATAAAATGTATATTATGCCAGTATTGTAAGTTCTGCTAATATCGTTAAATTGTAAGTTACGCTAACATTGTAAGTAGAGTAGGTAATTTTTGTATGTAATGTAATGTTATTGCAATAAAAGAGTTTCATATTGAGTTTATAAAGTTCCATGTGCAGTTAAAAAGGATCATCCTTGAGTTGAAAAAAGTATTTTCCTTAGGAAAGTTTCATTTCGAGTTCAAAAGTTCCATAAACGTTCAGAAAGGATCCGTTTTCAGTTGAGAAAAAGTGATTTTGACTAGAAACGTCTCATCCTTAGTTGAAAAAGTGCCATACGTACTTGAAAGGATCTCGAGTTGAATAACGCGTTTCTTTTTTTGAAAAATTTAATTTAGAGTTCAAAAGTTCCATGTACCGTTAAAAAGGATCTCCTCTGAGTTAAAAAAAAACATTTCCTTGGAATAGTTTCATTTCGAGTTAAAACGTTCCATAAACATTCAAAAAGGACCTTTTTTGAGTTGATGATTAATTTTGACTGGAAACGTTTGAAAAAAGTTCCATACGTACGTAAAAGCATCCCCTTTGAGCTGAAAAAAGTGTTTTTGCTTGGAAAAGTTTTTTTTGAGATGAAAAAATTCCTCGTTCACTTACAAAGGATCTCCTTTTGAGTTGAACAACTTTTTTCTTGGAAAAGATTCATTTTCAGACAAAAACGTTCCACGTTTTTCTTTTTCCTTTGCCTTGAAGACAATACTTTTGTTTGTGAAAGTTTTATTTTCAGATGAAAACGTTTCGTGTTTACTTAAACAGGATCCCCTTTGAGGTGAACTTTTTTTACTTTTTCAGATGAAACATTTCAATGCTTACTTTGGAAGGATCTCTCCCGAGATGAAAAAGAAATTGATTGGAAAAGTTTCATTTTCAGATGGAAAAGTTCCATGGTTACTTTAAAAGGACCTCTTAGAAAAACATAGGCACCCAAGGCGTGCAAGAGTTATTTTTTTTGTGAGCTAAAAGTCTCGGAGATAGGAGCATTCATGGAACTGTTTACAGCAATGATTTGGTTAATTTGACAAGGTTTTTGGTTGCGATGTACAGCAGGAAAGAAACTGGGAATTTATGATGTACATGCGATGTTACACTGGTCATGGTAAGATAGCTAAATAGTAAGCCATAAAATGTTTGACTGAACAAGCTACAGTAATCTGACACGTCTCCAGATTAATGTAGATACCATCTTATTTTCCAACAGGCAATTTGATTCGTTCTTTGATACAACCCACACTGTGATTGGTGTGACAGGCGCACATGCATAACTCCCTCTCTCACCGATCACATAGCCCTTCCAGCCCCCAAGAGGAATTTTTGCTCAAAAATACTCAAGTTAATTAAGAGACCTTTACGCATTTTATACGAGTCGTAAGTTTACCCTTTTTACACAACACAACACTACTTCACCGAAAATAGAAAGAAAGAGAAAAAAGCCTCTCTGACACTTTGAAAGTCTGATTTAATTAAATTGCACTTTAACTTGGTACCACGCAGTTTTCAAAGAACATTTGAGTAGTTTTCATACTTTTTACCTTAATATCGGACTGAAAGGAATGTCATAAAATGCCCATCAAATAGAAATATTAAACTGCTACTGCAAAGACGTAAAAACCGTCCAGAAATGAAAGCTTTTTTTTTGTTTAATATCCTGGGAACAATAGCCGATAACTTGTCAGCTCTAATTGAATTTACTGCCATACAAAAAACTAAAGCGTTAAGTTACCATTTGTAACTAAAAATAGCAAACATCTCGTGGGAACAAGTGGTGACGATTCGTCAGCTCTAATTGAATTTACTCCCTTGTGAAAAACAAGAGTGTCAAATTACCNCTATTAAACTGCTACTGCAGAGACGTAAAAAACCGTCCAGAAATGAAAGCTTCTTTTTTGTTTAATATCCTGGAAACAATAGCCGATAACTTGTCAGCTGTAATTGAATTTACTCCCATACAAAAAACAAAAGTGTTAAGTTACCATTTGTAACTAAAGATAGCAAACATCTCGAGGGAAAGAGTGGTGATGATTCGTCAGCTCTAATTGAATTTACTCCCTTGTGAAAAACAAGAGTGTCAAATTACCCTTTGTAACTAAAAAATAAAAATATCTTGTTATATTTGCATGCAACAAGAACAAAACAATCGTTACCTGCACCTACTATTGTAAACGTTTGAACTGTTTCAAATCTCAAAAGAAGCAATGATTCGTGACCTCTAATTCAATTGAATTTACTCCTTGTGAAAAACAAAAGAATCAAGTTACCTTTGTAACTAAAAATGAAAATATCTTGCTGCATTTGCATACTACTAACTCATGAACTGTTTCAGACCTCAAGGCTCATCTCGTTTATAACTAAAATCCTCAACCTAACCCAGAGAAAATGTCGAAGTACACCCAATATATGAATACTTCTTCCTCTTTTATAGAAAAATAAAATATGGCCGTTCTGAACTCTATCGGGATCAAATCTTCTCACATACCATTTACCTTCACAACAAGAGATTTGATTGGCTGTTTATAGTACATCCAATCTGATTGGTGTGACATACATACATCTCTCACTCACTCACTCACTCACTCATCCACTGACTGGTCCATAACATACCCGACGTGCCCACTAAGAGGTAGTATTTACAAAAAAATAACTAAAAAAGCATGCATCTCAGTAGCCCATTAGCATTCTATCCTGGACATGTGACTTTCGTAAATTTTGATCAAATTTGTTACTGCCTAAATTTTGACCCCAACAATCTGACTTGCATCAGTACTACTTCAAACAGCCAAGTCATGAACCATAGACTGATTTTGGATTAAACTTGTGCATTTTCAGGACTTTCTTGCCCTATGTGTTCATCAAAACATTGCCATGGTCCTAGACTATTAAAGGGAATATTGGCTACAAAAACAGTTTTGTTCCAAATCACAAGATGGTGTTTGTGTTAAATATTATTGTTTCAGTGATTTGAACTTGATAATTCTTTGCCTATTTTGAACGCTGGGCTTTTCTTTTTAGCTATTTCTTGGATTTCAAATTTCCTGCATACTGCCATGTTTATTTTTTCAAAGCTTGATGGGAAATTATGACATCATTATGCAGTGGGACTTTTTAAAACACACTGAATCTAGAGATATAAAAGTGCTTCTGATCATTTAATAATTCACATTCCAGACAATTATGTTCAGTTTCAACAAGAAATCTTCTGTGGACTCTATACTGAGATCTCTGACCAAGCAGTGACATCATAAATTACCATAAAGTAAACGTGGTGACACCCCAAACACTTTGTATTCAAACCACTTACAGACATATCAACTAAAAATTCCAGAATCAGTTAAACGGGACCAGTGGGTATACTTTGGAACTTGAACTGCTTTTCAGCCAAGATTCCCTTCAAACTACATACTATGCATATCAACTGAACAGATGCCATGGTTGTCACAAAATTTTAAAGTACATGGGGTTATTGTTCAAGCAACCAGCTGATTTTGCCTTGTTTCTAAAGAATCAGGTAAATAACAAGATTGTGAAGTAAACGTAAATGATGATTTTCACCGCCAGCCAGCTAGTTGACAACCCAGAGCTAAAAGTTATTTTCTGCAGCAATGGAAACTAAAAGTGATTCATGAAATAGTCGGCATCACATTACATGATTCATGATCTGATAGAAAACAGGACTGTGATTCAGGATCCTCACCACCCACCCCAACGTTACTGTCCTGGACGAAATTTAGGGACTGAGAAATGCTGTGGGAATACAATCCGAAGGCAAGTGCTTCTATCTTGATAGAGAAGAGAGGAAATGTTCTCTCTTTTGCCAAAAAACACTCCTTCAGTTGCAATTATCAAAATAAGTTTAGTTCTGAGTTTTTTGAGTGTGCTGAATGTTTTTCAACATTCTATTATATAGTGACTAATAACAACCACTGAATTATCATTCTTATATTTCCTTTTTTCTACAGACTTTACATCAGCCTGTTTCATCCTCTTTGATCCAGTTTCACACAAAAACAACCAAATTCAGACATCTTCATGTGTTACATACACTTTTAACAGAATAACTGCTTGTAAATTCACAGATCAAGCTTGTCTTTCCAGAAATTTTCACATGCCAAACACTAATTTTTGCTCTCATCAAGGATCCCATTAACTCTAAATGCTACCCTTTTCCCACATGTACGTAACACACAGATACAGGAATGATAATCAGGGATTATGGCTCCTGAAAAAGGCTACACATACCTTCTGCAAAGCTTTACAAAGAACATATTATTTCATTATGATGCAAAAGCTCCACATATTATACAAATCTTGGCTCCCCAAAATAGTGAGCCTCTGATAGTAGTAATAGGAAAGGTTTCTTAGGGTTGCTCCATAGGGTAATCATTTATGGCATTCTGCACGCAAGTGTTATGTCTTGAATGCTGTTTTTCCATTTGTTTTTTCACCCAGTCCTCTCAAACTTATTACATGTGATAGACAATGATTAAATAGTGTTTTACTATCATCTGTTAAAATTTTGGGTTTAAGTCTTGAATTACAAATACCCAAAGCAAACGTGTTCTTTACTTTTATTATGGCTTTCTGATTTTCTTGAATTTCCTTCAGTGAAATCCTCCAAAATTCTCACAGCACATAGCACGTTGCAGGAACGAATTTTAAACACGAAAAAAGCAGGGTTTGAACAGGCAGTTTTTTCAAGTTTGCAAATTTGACTTTTACCACTGTGAAAAAACTGCTCCTACAGATTTCCCTGTAGAACGAGCTCTAGTTCAAGTAAAATATTTACTACCAGTCTGCCAAATTTTACAGAATTTCAGCCAAGGGAACACAAGAAAACTCACTGTCAGTTGTACTTTTTGAGCTCATGTTGACGTCATATAATATCAAAAAGCACTGTCATTTTCCTTCCAGCACATGCAGATTACTTGAGTTTTCATCCTCAGCGCATGTGATTGCAAAACTATAGGGAGCCACCTTAAATGCAAAAGTAACAAAAGTTGTTACTTTTGCAATTTTACAGTACGAATATACCACTTGCAACTCGATTTCAAGTAACCAATGTATACCATACAAGGCGTTACATAACTATTCTGCAACAGGTGCTGCAAACCACCCAACAGTACATAACATTGTGCACAGAATCACACTTTCTACGACTACAAATAAACTGAATTACTGGGCACATAAATATTTTAAGAGCATGAAAAAAAATGCTTTTGAATTTGGTAGAAAACAGAAAATCTCCAGCAAACCAACCACCCCAGGATTTTCGTTAACAAGAGTGAAAATGAAACAAAAGCTTTAAGTAGTCATTAATACTTCATAATATTGGAGCGACATAGATGCCATCATTCAGGAGCACAGGAGCAATAATCTCATGAAAGGCAAATACATATAGCGTAGACATCGACAAGCCAATAATTTTAATACTGGTGAAGATAAAACTTCCTTGTCATGAGTTATCACTGAGTTTATTATACGCCAGAAACGATATGTTAATTGTCAAACTGCATATACTCCTTCGTCAAACAAAACAAATTATTCGCTTAGAAACTAAAACTTAAATTTTGTCATTTCTTACCTTGACCACCACCCTCGTTTGATGATACACTGCCCCATGTTTTTCCTTGAGATTCTTGCTGTTGTTTGGCCGGTTGTGTTTGTGTCTGCCCCGAGTTTTGCGATTGTGGTTGAGGTTGTTGTACATGCTGTGGATGAGATGGCGGCGCTATAGGCCGCTGCGGCTGCAATAGCGGCTGCTGAGAAGTAGGCGCATTTGTTTGCGATGGCGTAGAACTTGGAGCTACTGTTTGAGAAGTAGTTGCTGGAGGAGTTTCCGAAGGTTTCTCCTTCGCACTGCCCCATCCTCCACCACCACTAGGAACTAAAGAAACTGTAGGATCGTTGCCGGAGTTTTCGCTCTTCAAAGACGGAAGATTTGCAGGCGGAGGGATTCGACGACTTGCACCGACTTTTCCAAGGCTCTGTAGCCCATGGCGAGCAGTTCCTACAATTCAATAACGTCTGACTTAGGAAAAACCAAAATTATAGTTTTCATGTACCATTCTTATTACACAACACGAGTGTAAGTCGCAGCGTCCACGATACCGGAAGCCGCGTTTGAAAGACTCACATTTACAACTAAAGAAAAGCAGAAATGGCTCCAAGACGCCGTTGAACGTATGAATGTATTCCTAATTCCAAAGGATGTAAACTCGTTGGAATCAGGGAATTCAACCTACAATTATAGTAAAGATACAGACCTGAAGATGTCTTGGTTTCAACCTTAGTTCCTTTGTACGTCTGGTTTAAGTTGAGTGAAGAATATTTCGTCTTCCCCGCATTTTCCTTTACTTTAAGCCCAAACCTGTCGGACATTCTGGATAGGTAGTCATGAAGATAAGAAGCGGTGAAAAATGCCCCAAACTTGCAAATTCCTTCGACGTCAAAATTCTTCGTGCAAACTCAATATGGCGGAAGGGCGACAATACTGGTTGACGTTTGACGGAGTTATTCCTCGTTCTAACAGTTACCTTCCAGTAGAAAATGTAATGGAGGTTTTCTTGAGGTTTTCCTTTCTAACTTCAAATCAGCCTGAGGCTTTGTACTTGAAAGATTACTTGGGATGGTTTGGATGAAATCTCAAAGCCAAGATGGTGGAAAAAAGCAACAACGTCAAAGACAGCAGCAAATTAAAATTTTATACCGCGCTCGTACACGAAGAATTGTATGCGAAATGACGTATCGTGATTACGACACGCTCCGACTATGGTCGAAGATTACCGAAGAAAGAGCGTCGTTTTTCCGTTGCTTGGAAACGGGCTTCGAGAAAGACGGATTTAGTCATCAACGTTATATAAAGGACTCCGTAAAGCATTTTATTTCCTGAAAGTATTGTAGTTCACTTCAAAGCTCTGTGCAATATTGGCCAATATATACGTAACTTATTGAAGCCTAATTCCTGCATCTACCATTTTACCAAGACGCTAAGTGAAGATTTTACATTCTCAGAAGACAGAAAAAAAAAGGAAAGGAAAAAACAGAAATTCGAAGAGCAGAAGAAACTTTCAATAATAATTTTATGCAATAATATTGTGCTCTCAATTTAGAGACAGTTCTGGAAACTTGCTGAATCTCAAATATAGCACGTTTCGTATCTCTTTATTCCTCGGTCTTCGCACCAAATCACGATTTTCGCCCGCGCACTTGCGTTGACTTAGGATAACGGCCTGACTTTGGTCGGGATCAAATCTAAATCTGCAAGAAAGTCGTCGCAAATTCTTCACTGTTTGTGTTTGTGTGCCGACCTTTTCCAAAAGATAGTGAACGACGCACTACGAGAAGTAGTTCGTCTAGACGCATTAAAGTTAATTTACGACTGCATTACTACCCTGAAACTCTAGTTTCGTAGAACGTTTAATGTCTAAAGTTCTTGGTAAGCGACCAGAGTGGCTTACGAGAGTGACCAGCTCTAGTTCAGTAATACTAGCGCTTTTTTTAATGCCGAGGTGGTCACCTACGAGAACTGTTATTCGACGGTACGTTCTAATCACCGAAGTAAATCCCACATGTCCATTTCCCTAATCCTTCGGAAATAAGCCCTTGAATCACAGTACAGCAAGAATTCCCTACTCAACTATCCGCGAGCAGGCTCAAAAGATTGCGCATAGACCACGGAAATTTAGTTATTAAGTCTTTTCAAGTCTCATGTTAAGGTTTCTTTCCTCATTTTCCGCATTTTTCACTCTCCGTATTTTTCCACACCTCATTTTCCACACTCCTCATTTTCCATACTCCTCATTTTCATACTCCTCATTTTCCACACTCCGCACTCCCCATTTTCCACGAGCGCACGTTGGATATGAGATGGTAGATCGAGAGCCAATGAGGCGCGTAGCGCCAAGTTGGCTATAATCATCTCATTTCCAATAAGAGCGAAGGAATAATTGTTTTTTTTTTAAAAAAAAACACCCACAAAATATAGAAAACGAAACTAAAATATAAATGAAAACGCCCCAAAAAATCACGCGCTCGCTTAATTACCATATTTGTAGAGCATGGTATAATGGCTCATGACCCATGATGACCAAGCCACTGAAACCTCTCGAATTCATCATTCAATGATCCAGTTTTTAATAAATGCTTGGATCCAAGGCAAGACCCAGCAATAATTTTCTACTTTCTTTCCGAAATTGCCTCGCATCCACGTTGAACTTTGATGTAACTGCTGACTGCTTGCAGCGCAATAGCGCCAGCAGCGGTTTTCTGAAGTGACGGCTTCTTCGGGCTATTGGAACTACAAAACGAGCGGAGATCCTAGAGATCGGCCGTGTTCCATCGACAAGAACGTTTTTAACGGATTTGGCCATTCGAGATACTGGTTTTATTACGTCATTGAAAATGACAGCTGCTGGTGTTATGCAATTTTTCATAGTTGATGAAAAAGATAAACGGCAACAATCTATGACAATTAATGACAATGGAGCCATTATTTTCGGGCATGGCATCACGCGAGAGTTGATTTCCATATTTTTGCAGCGCGTGGCGCTGAGAGTAAGTACGACCGCTTGCGGTTTATCGTCTCACGGCGGAAGACTTAAGAGCTCACTTGCGCGTTTTTTATGTCCCAGGACGGAGGCAGTTTAATTGATTACTTTTTCGAAAAAGTCACAGCCAGTAAAAACAAACAAGTCACGTTTTTTTCCAGCTAGGGATAGTGTTTTAAATCAGTTTTTAGCAAGCTAGACGCTGAACGGAAATCCCAGCCAGTAAATGATCTATTGCTAATATTTACCAGGTAATGCTAATATTTACGTAGCTATGGTAACGGTGCGTCCCATAGACTTGATAAGTAGAATCTACAGGATGCACCAGCTAGTTTACAGCTGCGCCAAGGAAACAAAATATCGAAGTAAGCATGTATGTGCAATTGGTTGAGAATATATAACTACTATAAAATATCTAAGAATGTGTAAGAGTATAAAAATGCATATACATTGCACAGATAAAAACTATGCAAACGTAACATAAGAAAACGGGTGAAAAAATTGTTAAAATAAGTTAACATTTGCCAGCTGATGTCTACGTCACTTAGTGCATAATTTTTTCAAATAAGTAGAATTCTTTCGCAGAAAGGATGAAACAACAATATAATTCTCTTGTGTCGTAATGATTAGAAAAATGTCTAAACAGGAAAAACCTTCAAACAGTTTCATAGGGTAGCTTTGATCTCTTTAAAAGTTGACATGGCAACGAATTTTGATCTGACTTTTTCTTGATATAAATGCTTTACAAATTTAGATTACACGCCGAGTAACATAACTTATTTGTTCGTATCAATTACAAGCTGCACTGAGCTGGACTCCAGGGCTGACAATTTTGGGAGTTTGGAAAAGGTCGGCACACAACGGGAGTCATGTTTCTGGGAGGTGAAGCAGGGACATGCCCTTTTCAGTGTACCTGTAGGATGCATGTTGCAGGGACAGTACGCAAGCTTCTGCACACAAAGGGAATTGAGGCATAAGATTGTGTTGTATAGCAAAGACATTTTGCAAAAGTAGTGCAATCGATGCGACATAGAAGTTAAGGTCGTTTTCCCCCCACTTCATTACCCACGAATTCAAACCGACTGAATTTCACGCAACAAGTTAAGGGGACCAAATTTTGTCACTGCACCAGAAGTTCGCATTTCACGCTGAGAGAATTGTCACTGCTACATGGCCCCGCTTCATGTCCCTTCAACATGTTCCGCGCGTCTTATAAACCTGGCTACACGTCTCCTTGAGACTAACTAAAATGAGGTAAAGTGCAGTCGATAAAAGTTTCTGGTAAAAACAGGCGCCATAATCGATCGATTATGGATCCTGGTAAAAACTATTTACTGTACATTTCAAATTATTTAATGCACAAGTCATAATTTCATTTTCCTAGGAAGAATTTATCAAACTATGCTAGTATTTTATCGCACTAATATTTTGGAGATACAATTGCAGGGCCTTGCCATGAAGTAAAGGCGCCGCAATGTAATTACAGTTAATTTTTGATACATATTTACAAAACAGTTTCCCTGTCTATGACGAGCAGTTCAGTAAAAGAAGATTTTTCTGACTCGTTTTGGAATTTTCTCTCTGTTAAATCGCCTCTCTTAAGACAAATAAACATGAGTAAAATCAACAGTCCAATAGTCTCAATGCCACCCGCAGAAAAGAAAGTTGCAAGATACGACTTGGTCTTGTCGGCAACCAAACCTGAAAAAAACGTCAGGAACAGTTAGGTGACAATAACTATTACGACCCGTGAGAAGTTTGCAAACGAGCCTAGTGACCCATCAGGCTGGCGCTTATCTCCAGTTTCTGATGCATGAGGCGACTAGGAGTATTTCTACCTCAATTACCCTTCCTGGATGTCCATTTTGCCTGATTTCGAGAGGGTTTGTTTTCATTTACTACGCGAAAACAGTTGTCCCAGCTGAAAGAAACGAGTCTCAAAAGTAATAGGTCCTTTGCAGCTGGGGTCACGTGACCAAATATTTTCCAGAAAATTTTTGTGTTATGGGTTATAACTTAAAGAATGCCAGAAATGGAAAGAGCGCATCGAAAATATCAAAATGGCCAAGTTTGAGGTCCCTGGAATTAAAAAGGACGTTTAAACGACAGTTCGAATTTTCGGAAAGTTTAGAGGATTTGTACGTAAAATGTTGCTGGAGAGCAAGGTCTTGCTCTCCAGCAACTTTTTCCATACAAATCTTTTAAAAATTCGGACCGTCATAAAATCTCCTTCTTTAATGATGCAGGGGCCTCAAACTTGGCCATTTTGATATTTTTGACATGGGTTTTCCATTTCTGGCATTCGTTAAGTTATAGCCCATAATTTTATGAAAAATAGGTCACGTGATGGCTTAGCTGCAAAGGGCCTATTAAGCTGCTTATTTCGAATCTAAAGAGAGAGGACAAGGGAAAATACACGAAAATTAGCTAGCGGAGGAGAAGTCACCCATTACAAAGCTACTCAGACGTGCTACATCACAAGTATGTCTCATTCATTTAGGAGACTTTTGGCCAAATCTAATCTTGTAACATCTTGGAACTAAGGTATTCCACCTTTGAAACTTACCTCCAATTGGTGGGCCACACAAGAAAGCTGTACTAATACAAAACTGTTGAAAGCCAAATCCCTGGGCTTTTTGTTTCTGTGTCAGGGTTTGCAAGATTGAAAGAATATTTGCAATCGCTATCACGCCATCTGTAAGGCCATAAACTATGCAATAACAAAGAAGCCACATCCAGTTGGTTGCTAAGGGCAACATTATGGTCGCCACTGTATCGACTGTCGCAAATATGAGGAACACTCTTGGAGGACTCATGACGTCACAAAGCTTGGAACCCAATATCCTGGCCACGAGACTTGCCAGTCCAATGGACGAATAAAGCCAGGTTACCAAGTCAGCGGCGATACCACGATCCTCACAGTACCGGGCCTAGGAAATGGGATGGAATATATTTGGATCAAGAGATAATTTCTTGATTTGGATTGATTGCGTGATGCGATATAGTGAACCTACAGATAGGCTGATTGGTGGCTTCCACTTTGAAATGTTACTTATTATGTTTTTACGTTGTATGTGCAAAAAAGAGCGATCGTCTTATACAGGGAGATCAGTTTCCTGGATCCCAGAGACTTTTCCTGCGCGTCAGCCTTCTACGGAAAGTATTCTGGGCTTGGCCGAGAGCAAGACGGAAACTCAGTGCTCAGTCTCCAGCCGATTCCAGAGCGAGTGAGAAAAAAAGAAACACTGATTTCTAGAATAAGCAACTTTGCAATTCTCACCATGCTTGTAATATGAGTGTTCTAAACGCTGTGACTACAGATTTTCAAAGTAACAATTGAAAATTTTTCGCCCCTTCTTTTTTATTGACATCATAGCCTCATGTAGGCGACCTGTGTCAGCCAGGTGTCAGCTGATGGTGTCATTTGCTAGTAATTTGTTTTTAAAATCCAACAAATCAATCGATTACTTACGAGAAGGACAGGAGGTATGGAGTGACTAATGTATACAAAAACGTATGTTATATTCAGGACGACAAAGGTAATATTTTTCCACATTGTCAAATCCAGAATTCGACTTCTCTGCCCTGCTTTAGACTCTTCACTTTCTTGAACACTTCTTTCGGCTTGGTCGCTTGCCACATTAGGATCCAATACCCAGCCGATGAAGGGAATGATGAAAACGATACAAGTCATGCCTCTAAAGGCTCCTCTCCAGCCAAATGCATCAATGAAAACCTGGCACACTGGGCTCATTACAAGTAATCCAGCTCCCGTACTCATAGTTACTAACCCTGTGGCTAACGAACGTCGCTTCACAAAATACCGAGGCACGATCTGGAAAACGGCAATGAAAACGAGGCTTGAGCCACACCCAAAGATTCCTCCGTAAGTCAAAAGCATAAGATAAAGACTGGGAACTAAAGAAGTCAATAGGAGACCGATGGTGCTCAACACCGCTCCACTAATAACCACTGCGCGTGCGCCAAATCGGTCGGTGAGTCGTCCAGCTACGGGACCAAAAAGACCAGCGGATGCCACTGCCAGAGATCCAACCCACGCTGAAAGAGAAATGAGTGTTTTTACCACCCTGTCCCTGGTTCCAAGCGCGGGATCCGTTGTTTTGCCGACTCAGGCGTCGTCCACACCACGCCGGAGGAATTTTGTAAACGGAGGTTTCAACCTGAAAACGCATCAAGAATGTTTTCCGTCCAAACTACGCCGGAGGAATTTGAAAAAGCAACAATCATCGGTCATTTTGCTTCTGCGTTTCAGTAAAACTCGGTCAGGGAAACACATGATTATCGTGATGCCATCGTTTTCAAAATGTTTTCCGTGCACACTAAAGTCCAAAGCCGGCGTTTTCAAATACCTCCGGTTTCAAGGCGTTTTAGAAAAGTTCCGTTTTCGTGACGGATTAGTGTGGTTGGTAGGCTTAACCGGAGAAATAAAGCTACATTTTCAAATTCCTCCGGATAGTGTGGACAGGGCCTCAGCTGCGAGCCCAGATGGGAACAGGTCTTGGGTATTTTTGTAGTATATTTCTCTTCCTTTGAAGTACATTTCTGGCAATCATTCCTATCTTGAATTAAGACATATGCACGAACTGAAATGGTGTCGATCCACTTACTTATATGTCACCCGCTATAGCTAGCTTTCATCAAATGATTTGTCTTTGCACACTTCTCAATCTAGTTTCCCTGGTTAACTTTCTTTCCCCTCTCCTCCATTTAAATGCATGAGGCTTAAACTTCATGTAAGAAAGGACATTCAGCCTTTATTTACCTGTTTTGGATTTTCCTGCCTTAAACTCGTCAAGAAGAGAAGGAAAAATAATACCAAAGCAATACGTGCATCCAATTACGATGATGTTACAAGTGACTCCAGCCGCACACACGACCCAAGACCACCAAGTGTCTGGCTGTCGCAGTTTTCTCTGACTTGGTTGTCCTGTCTCTGTTATGTCTTCAGCCTTCTTTAGGTGGAGGCAGCTTGTACTTTTTACTGTCATTTTTACGGTATCGTTAAAGTGGCCAGGGAGCTGTTTACAACGAAACAGGAAAGTAAAAACAGGCCATTGGTACATTGCATGTTTCTAGAAGCTAACGTACTTGAGTTTTTCTTAGGTCATCTTAGGGAGATTTGTTAATGTTTCTCCTTTTTTTGTCTCAAAGCGCGGTCCTCACTTGCTTATGCGCTGGTGGACCCTACTGGGACGGCATGAGAATATCAAAATCTTGAAGGCTTATGCTACCTTAAGCTTAGTACGTCACTGCCGTCCCCACTTAAGCGCGTAAGTTTCAATGTTTACACTTATGCTTGCGTCGCAAGTGAGGAGAAAGTTCATTCATCACGTGCAAGACTGATTGCATAATTGGAGCGTGATCGCGTGATCAGTGCTTTGAACAACCGGCTTCTCTCTCGTATGCCAGACGAAAGGAAATATCCATTCGCGAAAATCTGTCATCGCTAGTAGTAAACTTAAATTGAATAGTGTCAGTTTTGTTCATCGATTTATTCTCCTTTTCTCTTTCTTTTACAAAACACAGCGTTTTCAAACTAACGTGGTAACTAGAGGTGTATTACTGCTAACTGATAGTAAGTAAACATTGAACACACACAAAAGTAACAGCCTGTATCATTGTGTCCGTGTCGTTAATTATTACGTAACTGCAAGCACGTGAGGGCTTGACGGGAGTTCTACAGCTCCCTACACGTAGGAAAGCTCAAAGATATTTCACTGTAGCTTAGAAATACAGCACAGAAATCCTGTTGATACGAGCAGTGTTATTCGTCCGCCCGCCCACCCGCCCTCTTGGATCATTTCAAAACAACATTCGCCATAATTTCTCTCAAGAATCAGGATAGGTTTATGGACGAAAATGACGATAGAAAATACACGGTTATGTTCCTTTTGTGTGAGTCTGTCTATCCGTTTGGTTAGCCTTGCCTCGTTTACAGTACTGTATGGCGACGACGTTAGTGTATTCGCTTCAAAAGTAACGTTAACTGGTCCTATTAATCCACACGCTGTCAGGTCCTGTGACAACTGTAGTTTGAGCTTCTTCCCTACCAAGAATAATAAGAAAGGAATTTAAGATCCCAATCCAACCTGACCTGCTCGTTTTACCAGTAGGGTAATTAAATACTCCAAAGTTGTAAAGTCATTTTAAAAAGCGAGAGGCGTATCAGTTTTGCTAAAAATAGTTTTAACCCATACCTTTAACATCTCCCAAGCTATATTTTCCACGCTTTCATCACGCTAATAACTAAGCAATCACGGCTGACTATTTTTTATTGATTTTAAGATACATGACAGAAGAATCTTCCAATAACAGAAAAAAAAAGCTGAAAGGGAAACAAATTCTCAGCAATAATGCCTTATTTTCAGCACAATTTGCTTTTGCTCGCGCTGTCAATTTTTCCAAAACATTTCTACGGATAGCATTAAACAGAGGTCTCATTACCAGCAATTTTATACTATGCAATATAGAACTGAAATATGCATTTTCTTTGGCATGACATAAAATGCAATACAACAATACAATACAAGTTTATTATGTAATACACTTAGCTATATGTGAGGTATGACATCCCATGAAAGATAAAATGTCACACCAGCTAACTTGCAGATATTCCACATAAATTAAAATTAAAAGCTAAATATTATAATAAATGACGGAACATTTCAAAGAAGTATGAATAGCTTACAGAGTGCGAAACAATAAATCTCTACTTACAGAGTTAACGCAGGCTTTCTCGAAGTCATGGAGGAACTGCTCATTACTTTTATCTTTTCTTTTTTGAAATAAAGATCCGACCTCGTTCCCAGGGTGTTTTCAAACCGGGGAAAAGGCCCTGGGAACGAGGTTGCCGGCCAGTAACGAGAGTTCATTGTTGACATTTTGTAGTAGAATAGCAGCTGCTTTATTTTACTTGCCAGCATTTCCATTTGAATGTTTCAACCAAGTGAATGATGGATAACAGTAAGCAGTAACCTTGCAGCCAGCTTTAGAAGGTGCGTGTACTAAAATGAAATAGCTTTGTATTTTTTGCCAAATATACATAAACCATTTATTTCCAGTAAAGTGGACAAGCTGATATATTTTTGTTTTCGTAAATTTTGAATAATTTCAAATTTAAATTTTATTTTTGCAAATTTTCAGCGCGCACGTCAACGTGAATTTGATATGCAGGTAACGCACACAATGGGAGGACAGAAGACTTCATAAAACGGAGAC